AGTGAATCATTGGTGGGCTTCATGTATGTAATCAAACTTCACAGCTTTTCATAAAATGTGTATTTGGCAAATGGTTAATAAGTGCTCTGATGGTGGAGGTTTGGGTGCTCTGATGTCAAATGTCACTTTCTACATACTTATACAGGCCCTGGGGGTAGGGGCGAGGGTTTGTGGTTTTTGCCAGTTTGAGCTACCTCTAAGTAGCAACTTTAGGCAATTATTACCATTGTAACTCATACCTCAGAGTCTGCATTAATGCATTTCAGACTTTTCATTGCTGCATCCAAAATACCTGAGAGAACAATTTAAAGGCAGAGTGATTTTTTTTTCTCACCCTTTCAGAGGGTTCAGTTCATGGTCGCTTGACCCTATGGTCTTGTTAGAACATCATGGTGGCAGAAATGTGTGGTAGAGCTTCTTCACCTCATGGTGGACAGGAAGCAGAAGTCTAGGAAGGGCCTGGGGATCAGATATCACCTTCAAAGGTGATCTACTTTCTCCAGGTAGGACCCACCTCCCAAAATTTCCATCATCTTTCTAAGTAGCTTCAGAAGCTAGGGACCAAATGCTCCACATATGAGCCTGTGGGGATGTTGAAATCAAAGCAGATATTATCTATAGTAATGATAATGGCAGCGTTTTGCTTAGCTACACCATCTCTAAAATTGATAAGAAAAAATGACTAAAAACAAGTGAAGTAAAGGGTTTATTTAGGTTTACCTTGGTTCCATTGCCTTCATTTTCCAAGTAAATATATAGCAGGAATCTAGAGATTATAGTGGGAATTGACGATAAAAGCAAATAAACTCCAAGACATGGTCACAAGAGGTTTGTCTTTGTTGTTGTTTTTAATGTACAAAATGATTTATTTTTTCTTTTGTGTTTTTCCCCATATGTTTTATCCCCTGTTGTCACCATATTTAATGTTGGTACCCTGGGTATTGTATATATGTTTATCTGGGTTAGGGAAGGGAAGGGGAACAACAAAATGGAAAGTAAAGGACAAGGGGGAACCAATGCAACAGGGATACTCACCAGACAATATGTCAGAAATCATCTGTACAACTTGGGGAGGGGGTTAGGGGGAGGGAAAGAGGGAGAAAAATGAGTGAGGGGGTAACAAGTTAGACAAGAAATGTACTCACTGCCTTACTTATGTAACTGTAACCACCCTGTACATCACATTGACAATAAAATTAAAATAAAAAATAAAATAAAAAAGCATTTGAAACAAAAAGTTCATTTTCAGAGAAAAAGTTTTATTAGAAACTTTCTTTGAGGAGTAAACATATGTTCTCTTTTCTTTTCTTTTTGTCGGTTGTGGGGCCTGAATCTGGGCACTGTCCCTGGACTAGTGCTCTACTACCTGAGCCACAGCGCCACTTCCGGCTTTTTCTGCTTATGTGGTGCTGAGGAATCGAACCCAGGGCCTCATGCATGCAAGGCAAGCACTCTACCACTGAGCCACCTTCCCAGCCCAACAAACGTTTTCTTTTTGTTGTTGTTGGTCATGAGGCTTGAAATCGGGGTCTGGGTGCTGTCCCTGAGCTTTTTCACTCAAGACTAACGCTACTACTTTGAGCCACAGCATCACTTCTGACTTTCTGGTAGTTAATTAGAAATAAGAATCTCACAGACTTTCCTGCCTGGGCTGGCTTTGAACTGCAATTCTCAGATCTCCACCTCCTGAGTAGCTAGTATTACAGGTGTGAGCTATTGGTACCTGGCTCAAACAAATGGTTTTTAAAGGACGGCAACAATGTTGCTACAAAATATGTGTATGTGTGTTTGTGTGTGTGTGCGTGTGCGAGCACGCGAGTGCAAATGCGTGTGCGTGCATGAGTGCTGGTTCTGGAGCTTGAACTCAAGGCCTGGACATTGTCCATGAGCTTTTTATTTTTATTTATTTATTTTTTTGGGTACCGTCGTGGGGCCTGAACTCTGGGCCTAGGTGCTGTCCCTCAGCTCTTCAGCTCAAGGCTAGCGCTCTACCACTTGAGCCACAGCGCCACTTCCGGCTTTTTTCTGCTTATGTGGTGCTGAGGAATTGAACCCAGGGCCTCATGCATGCAAGGCAAGCGCTGTACCACTGAGCCACCTTCCCAGCCCCTCCATAAGCTTTTTAATTCAAAGCTAGCACTCTACCACTTGAGCCACAGCTCCACTTCTGGCTTTTTGGTGGTTAATTGGAGATAAGAGTCTCACAGACTTTCCTGCCTCGGCTGTCTTTGAATCCTGGTCCTCAGATCTCAGCCTCTTGAATAGCTAGGATTACAAACATAAACTACTGGTACTCAGGTCCTTCATTTTTATTTTTATTGTTTTGTTTTTGGTAATGCTAGAGTTTAAACTCAAGGCCTCACATGCATTCTACCACTAGAGCCACATTCTCAGCCCTTTTGCTTCAGTTATTTTTCAGAGAGGGTCATCTGTTTTTCCTGTGGCCAGCTTTGGTCATGATTCTCCTAGCCATATCTCCTATGTAGCTCAGATTATAGGCATGAACCTCCATATCTGGCTTGTTGACTAAGAGGCCAACAAATCCAACTGATCTCTGTCTCCAAATACCATTACTTGCCCTTGATTTCTTCATTTTAAAAGTATCTCCCTTGCTATCTTTATTTTCATTTGTTAAATGTACAAAGCCATACCTTGAATGTTGTCTCCAGCTATGCTTGTAACAGTTTGAGACCGATGGTTAATTCTGATCAGTGAACCACTTGGTCAGAACAATTAGATGAAAGAGTATTATAGGTCTTGTCAATGGAGGAAAATAACAAATATTAGGAAAGTGGCACAGAACCTTGCAAAATAATACTTATATTAATGTATGTAATTTTGTATCTCATATGCATCTTCATTTAATTAACTTTTAAAAAACACATTGACATTAATATGCTTCATATATATTGGTGCTGAGAATCAATACCAGGGATTGGAAGAGGCTTGGCTCATGTGGTAGAGTAACAGCCAATGAGTAAAAGCAAGCATCATATACTGAGTTTGAGTCTGGTTTGAGACCAAAAACAACAACAACAACAACAAAACAGGCTTTGAACATAGGTAGGTATTCTATATTTCTTTTTTGTATGTAATTTGTTTCAGTTGTACTCAGGATTGAACTCCAGGTCTTGCATATGCTAGCCCAGTGCCCTACCACTTGAGCCATCCCCCTAACTCAGCTAATTTCTTTTGTTTTAGACTTGTGGGGACTCTGCTGCCAGACAATGTTCATATTTCTTTCCTGAATGTTTAAAACAGAGTTATGCATGGAGCAGGTATCCAATAAATATGAATTACAAATTACAATGACAGAGCTGCTTTATTAGTTTAGAATAATTCCAGGGGCTTCTTTCTTCCCTGGCTTGTTTGATCTTAAGCCTATTACTACTTGTTTATATGTCAGAACTCTCTGACATATAATATTAATTTGCTACACATTTAAAAACACATTTAGAATTATTACATGATCCCTCAAGTGAGCAAAAATGCCTATTTTTTGTAATCTCAGAGAAAACAAAAGAGTATTACTAATTGAGTATGGATGTACAATTTGTACTAACTCCTGGAGAAGGGAATGTCACAGGTCACTTTAAATTGATTGAATCCTGAATTTCCACAAAACCCAAAGTTGGTTCCTTGTGAATCAGCTTTTCTAGGGTCAAAGTTCTGGCCAGCACAAACATCAGCGTGTAAAAGACTCTGCTTGCTTTAGTGGAGAGGCAAGGCAAGGAGTAGTAGAGAAATAAATTGGCTGATGTAAGGTATAAGGGATTATTTCCCTAAAGAACCATCTTTCCTGGAAGCTGATCTAGAGGTGGTTTATGTAGTAGCTGAGTGGTCACAAACTGGGGCTCTTTTGTGCTTACCTGTGGAGGTTTGTGGCCCAAAGACATACATCAATCCTAATCCCTCATCAGGAGACAAGGGATTAGTTTCTCAGTTCTCCAAATCTGAAGAACAAGGATCATTATTTCCTTGACTATTCTTGTCATATTAGTTTTCTCCCATGCAGCTCCTTATATGGAGGGAGTAGTAGCTGCCCCCAGATATTCTTGTGACCACCAATAATGAAAGAAAACATTCTTTACCAGCTTTTTGTTAAAGACAAAGGTCACAAGCGGTTAACTAGGGAGTCAGGCCCACATGTATTAACAAATACTATCCTACACGTTAGGGTTGCTTAATGTGACACAGGCCAGACAATGGCCAGATGACTCCCTATGGTATCAGGTTCTTTTATCTCTCTCTCTCTTTCTCTCTCTTCCTTCCTTCCTTCTTTCTTTCCTTCCTTCCTTCCTTTGCTTGCTCTGTGTGTGTGTGTGTGTGTGTGTGTGTGAGTGTGTCTGTGTGTGTGTGTGTGTGTGTGTGCCAGTCCTGGGACTTGAACTCAGGGGCTGGGTGCTGTCCCTGAGCTTCTTTTGTTCAAGGCTAGCTCTCTACCATATGCGTCTCACAGACTTTCCGGCTAGTTTTGAGCCGTGATCTCAGCCTCAAGAGTAGCTAGGCGTGAGCCACCGGCGTCCCACTTCTGCTTTTAAAACCCAGGAACTCACCTAGAGTGCTAGCTACTCAGGTGGCTGAGATCTGAGAACTGCCGTTCAAAATCAGCCCGGCTTTGACTGATTATCTTATCATGGGCTTTTCAGGGTCCCTTCTCCAGCAAAGGTCATCTGTTTGCCCATCTTTCACGTGGTGTGGGATGAGGCACTTCTGATGCAGCGCCTCATTTCCCGTAAGGGAAGTGCGGTTCCAGGCCCAGATGCCCCTTTTTTATTTTTGTTGTTTTTTTCTGTTTAACTCAATGCATCCCACAATAAGCTGAGCCCGCAGGTCTTCAGCCAAGGCCAGAGTTTAGGGGCCACCGGCGAGGGCGGGGCCAGGGGGCGGAGCGAGGGCCAGTGACGCAGAAGGCTCTGACCAATAAGAACACCCGCGGCGCCCGCGGCTCCGCGCGCCTATAAGTAGGCAGCGCTCCCAGGCTCGCCGGCTGGCGGCTGCTTGGCGCGTCCCGGCAGCTGGGCTGTCTACCCTAGAGGACTCGGTCCGTAGGTCACTGTCGCCAGCGGTATCGCCAGCCAGATTCAGCCGCAGGCCTTGAAACGCCCCTGGGTGTCTCGCGAAGTGCAGCTCGAGGTCCATGGAGAAGGGCCCGGTACCGCAAGAGAAGCCGCGGGGCACCAGGTGCACCAATGGGTTCCGGGAACGGGAGCCGTCGCGGCCTGGGTCCAGCCGGCCGCCGGCCGAGAGCTCCCCGCGGATCCCCGCCACCAAGAGTCCCCAGCCCGCCGACGACTGGAAGAGGGAGCGGCCCCGCAGCGAGGAGGATAACGAGCTGAACCTCCCCGGCCTGGCGGCCGCCTACTCGTCTATCCTGCGCTCGTTGGGCGAGGACCCCCAGCGGCAGGGGCTGCTCAAGACGCCCTGGAGGGCGGCCACCGCCATGCAGTTCTTCACCAAGGGCTACCAAGAGACCATCTCCGGTGGGTGCGCGGGCGCCGGGGAAGGGGAGGCGGCGGCGGGGAGCGCGGGGCGGGGCGCTCCAGGAAGTTTTCCCGAGTTGCTTCACTTTTGGCCGCGGGATCGAATGCTGTCACCTTGCGAACCCCGCCCTCGGCCCTGGCCCGCGCCGGGCCCAGGCAAGGTCCGATGTGGCGGCGCGCGCGGCGGGCGCCCGTGGGGTGGGGATGGGCAGCCGCCTCTCCACCCCGAGATCAGCCGCAGCAGCTTTTCTATCTTGGTGTGTGTGTGGGGGGGGGGTGCCCTCCTTCTCGCTCTAGGCACGTGCCATCTCCTCTAGAGGATGGGGTCGCATGGGTGGAATCACCCTGTCCCGTCCCTCCAGGTGGGCATCTGGGATCCCGTTCGCCCTAGCGCTTCCGGGACCCACCTTGGCCGTCCATACGTGAGCACCTGTTGGAGTGCCAGTTTCTGGGTCAGTGGGTTTTTCGGAGATCCCCTGATTTCTTTTACAGGTCTAGGTGTGTGGGACCGGTACTCTTGATCTGCCACGGGGTGGGGGGTGGGTGTGGGGAGGCTGGGATCCTGGAGAGAGCTGTCATTCTTTTTTAATCCACCTGGTTAACTCTGGCTAGGAACTTCCCCCAAATTTGGCACCATTCTGGGCCTGGGCTTCCGTGGAGTTTGAGGTGTGGGGTTTCTTGGGCTAGTTTGCCTTCTAAAAAACCTTCTTCCTCTTCCTATCTCCTGCGACTCCCCGCCACTGCACCAGGAGGCATGTTGGGCGGGCCTGGGATTCCTGCCCTCCGCCTCCCTTCCCTCAAATCTTCAGGGTTGACCCAGTGCTGGGGGCAGCCAGCGTGTTGGGCTTTCTCACTTAGCAGGTGGGCCGGCCGTGGTGGTGTGAAGGGGAAGTGGAAAAATGCCTGCTTGTCTGAGTAGTGTAGGTTGTTGGTGTTATTATTATTGTCTGTCATTGGGCTTGAAGTCAGGGTCTGAGTTCTGTCCCTGAGTTTTTATGCTCAAGGCTAGTGCTCTACCACTGTCTCATAGACTTTTCTTGTCTAGGTGGCTTTGAACCACAATCCTCACATCTCAGCCTCTGAGTAATTAGGATTACAGGAGTGAGCCACCAGCTCCTGGCAACAGCTTCTTCTTCTTCTTCTTCTTCTTCTTCTTCTTCTTCTTCTTCTTCTTCTTCTTCTTCTTCTTCTTCTTCTTCTTCCTCCTCCTCCTCCTCCTCCTCCTCCTCCTCCTCCTCCTCCTCCTCCTCCTCCTCCTCCTCCTCCTCCTCCTCCTCCTCCTCCTCCTCCTCCTCCTCCTCCCCCCTCCCCCTCCTCGTGCACCTGGGTGACCTTTCTTTCTTTGGCTGAAGAAGAAACCTACTGCTTTCTCCTAGAAAACCAGTGCTGCTTTGAAAGCTACCTCCCCAGCCTGTCCCTCTCATTTCCCTGAAATTTTCCCCACCCCCAAGGAAGGGTGGGAAATTAGAGTGTGGGAAGGGTGGGGCCCCCAAAGGAAATGATACTACCACATCTAAAGCCAAGATATGGACCTCTCATTTTGTTTTGGGTTCTGTTGGTTTTTACTCCTGGATGGCAAAGTTTGGGGAGGAGGGTCTCGGAAATCAATTTCAAGATGCAAAGACTGAAGAACAACCATTTGGTTTTCTGGGAGTTCAGCTTTGGGGAAAGTTGGTTAGTGTACTGTTTCAGGATGTTCTGAGGAAGGATTTTTTTTTTCTTTTTAGTGCAGGTCCTGGGGTTTGAATTCAGGACCTGGGCATTGTCCTTTAGGTTCTTGCTCAAAGTTAGTGCTGTACCACTTGAGCCATAGCTCCATTTCTGGACTGGTAGTCAATTGGAGATAAGAATCTCAGATTTTCCTGGTTTCAAACCTCAGGTCTCAGATCCCAGCTTCCGGAGTAGCTTGAATTACTGGTGTGAGCCACTGGCACCCAACAGAAAAGATCTTACTGGGGCTTTGATCAAGCTGTGTCTGCCTCCTGCAAACACAGAAGGTGGTTTTCTCTGTAGTGTTGCTCATGAAAGTGGTAATCTTTCTATAACCTAGCATGGATCTCACTGCCCCAAGGGGGAGGGGTTTCTTGCCCTGACACTGGTCACAGAATTATTTACTGATGTGCCTGTTTATTTGAGAAATGGTTAACAGAAGCTTGTCTCATGAGCCAAGATTCAGCTAAAGAGGACTAGGGACTCAAAAGGACCTCATTTCACCTTAGAAAACATTTAAAATGGTTAATTTATTAATAAGAAGTTCACAGGTATAGAGACAGAAAGAAGATTTGTTTCTGTCCACTGGGAAAGAGGGAGGAGTGGGGAATGGATATGAAGTTTCCAACTGCACACTTCAGAATGGTGAAGATGAAGTCTTTTTTTTTTTTTTTTTTTTTGGTTAGTCATGGGCTTGAACTCTGGGCCTGGGAGCTGTCCCTCAGCTCTTCAGCTCAAGGCTAGCGCTCTACCACTTGAGCCACAGTGCCACTTCTGGTTTTCTGGTGGTTTATTGGAGTTAAGAGTCTCATGGAGTTTCCTGCTTGAACTGGCTTTGAACAGTGATCCTCAGATCTCAGCCTCCTGAGTATCTTGGATTACAGGCATGAGCCACCGGCACTCAGCAGTGAAGTCTTTTTATGGGTATTTTACCTTAGCAAAAAGTTTGCAGATCCTTTAAGATTAAGATTGATAGCTATTAACTGAATTGTTTAAAATACTAAGTGCTTTATGTGAATCATCTTGTATAATCCTCAACTTTGAGGTAAGCACTATTTCCTTATCTCCTGAAAGGATATGGAGGGAGCAGGGTGGACAACTTCAACATATCTGCTCAGCATATCTGCTCAGTTCTTAGGTACTTCCTTCCTTAGCATGAAACACAGTGAGATGGATTCATGTACCCTACCTACCAAGTATTTCTGTGAGCTGGATCATTAGCATTAAAAACAAAAAGTGTTATTCTTAGCACATGCAAAAATTAATCCTTTCCTATCCACCCTTCCCCATTTCCTTTCCATCTTCTTCATAACAGAATCTCGCCCATCAGAAAGTTAAGTGCTTGGAAAGGTAGCCTGGGATGATTTCTATAATTTTGTTCATAGGGGCTGGTAGCCTTTAGATTGTGAATCACTGTCTGCTTACTCTGGTGAAATATGATGTCACTGAGGAAGGTCTGTTGATTTAGCCAAGCAAATCTCCTTGTGTTGTTTTCTTGGGCTTGCTTCTTCCAAGGAACTCCACTGATGATGGTTTGGGGAGAGGGGCCTGGTTTTTGGTCTTCTTTCCTGCCCTAAATTCACTTAATGACCTTAGGAAAGTGGCTTAACTTCTCTGGGCTTCAATTGCTCCTTTGTAAAGTTAGTTTAGATTACAAAGGAGGAAAAGCAAATATGTAGTAGAATGGGGCTTCCCCTTCTGTGGTATGACCATGACAGACATTACTAATTAATCTCTACTTTCCTGTGGCTGGAACAGACCTTCCTAATTAAAACAACTAAGCCTAGAATCAGCTGGTCTCACATTGGTTTCAGTACTGCTGCTCAAGTGAATTAATGATGTAGTGACTCTTTGGTGATGTAAGAAATAGGAATTTTGACAAAGGGTGATCAAACACAGTGGTGGTACTCATTAGACCCTGTGTGGAAAATGAACTATACAATTTGTGGATAGGAATGGGAAAGAAAAACTGGGAGAGAGTGAGGAAGGGGGTGATATTGTCCAAAAAGAAATGTATACTTTACCTTACTAAAATAACTATAACCCCTCTGTATATCACTTATATATATATATCAATAAAACAATTTTAAAAAATGAAAAAAAAGAAAACAAAAAGTGAGGATAAGAATGTGGCTTAATGGTAGAGTGTTTGCTTAGCATGTATGAAGCCCATGGTTTGATTCCTCAGTACCACATAAACAGAAAAAGCCAGAAGTAGCACTGTGGCTCAAGTGATAGAGTACTAGCCTTGAGCAAAAGAAGCTTAAGGACAGTGCCCAGGCCCGTTCAAGCCCCAGAACTGGAAAAAGAAAAAAAAAGTGGAGCAGAATGGATTAGATCACTTTATCACGTGTGAAGACATTGTGAGAATATTTTAAGAAACTTTTATGTAGGATTGTGTGTGTGTTTGTATGTGTGTGTTCATGTTCATGGGTATATGTACCTTCTTTTTTTATTGTGAAAATACTGTACAGAGGGGTTACAATTACATGGGCAAGATAATGAGTACATTTCTTATCAAGCATTGTAGCCTCCTCCTTTGTTTCCTCTTCCCATCCCATCCTCCCTCTGTCCCCCCACCAAGTCCTCGCCCCCCCACCAAAGTTGTAAAGTTCGTTTTCAACATAACAACTTGTACGTCTTATTGTTGCAATGGGTCCCCCTGTATCCCTAGTTAAACGGTTTGTTTTTTCCCTCCCCCTCCACAAATTATACCAACATCAAATACAGTGAAAGCAGGGGTTATACCGTGGGGCAGGGACATACAAAGTAACAAAGAAATAATCTTATAAATGTGTTAGAAGTACCTTTCTTCTTGTAGGTTACAGTCAAAACTTTGAAAGCCTCCATAGGGGGGGTCATGTTTAAAAGATTCATATTGGTTTTTATTTTTTAGATGCATAATTAAAAAGAGGACAGTGAGGGGACAGGAAAAACTATGCAGAAATGGATCTGAAGTAGTCCTTGTCTTCGATGAGAGAGAGAAGGAAGGCTACTGGGAGTCAGTGACACATCTTTACATCTATAGGAAATATGGAAGAGTGATAGAGAAAATCTGAACAATCCCAATTTTCAATTTATTTTGAGACATTAAGTCAATGACTACCATAGCTTGTTTCTAAATAGGAATAAACTTTGCAACTCATTGTTTTTTGGCAGTACTGGGATTGAAGTCAGGATTTAAAGCTTGCAACCCCTTTTGACTAGCTTATTTTCAAGGCAGAGTCTTGATTTATGTTTGATCTTCCTACTTGTGAGCACCACTGTGCCCAGCCATTGGGCGAGAAGCA